CTTCAGCCTTTGTTTTTTTTTTTTTTTTTTGCCTTTGGGTGTGCATACTTGCCAGAGAGAGAAAGAAGGAAAGTGAGAGATAACGCGCCTGGGAGGATAGCCACACCACAATCACATCTCCATTGCCCTCTCGGGATTTTGGGCATATGCCCAGTGTGATTCCAAGCTGCGGTGTCTGGGACTTGACCCAAGGTCAGCCATGTAGGAATCCAGTGCCTTAACCACTGTACCACCTGCTGGACCCAAATTTAAGGCTAAGTGATTTCCATTGTATGTACATTCCACATTTTGTTTATCCACTCATCACCTGTCTAGGTCAGTTGAGTTGTCTCCCCCTTCTGGCTAGTGGGCGTAATGCTGTGAACAGAGGTATACCAGTGTACAAGTCCCTGCTTCCAACTCTTTTGGGTGTGTTCAAAGCCATCCAGGTCTTTTTTTCTTTTTTTTTGGAGAGGTTTTTGCTATAGCGTATGTGTACTCGCCAGAAAGACAGAGCCAGAGAGACAGAAAGCAAGAAATCACCCCGAGGGGATGGCCACGCTACAGTCCCTTCTCCTCCATTCTCCTCTTGGGATCTTGGGCACACACGCACATGCACCTGGGGTGAGTTTAAGCCACCGGGTCCGGGACTTGAACCATGGTCGGCTACATGGGAGTCCAGCGACATAGCCACTATACTAACTGCTGGTCCCCACCATCTAGGTTTTTAACTTGGCATTTTTACACTCTTGCCAGCTGTGGATGTTATAACTTGTTTCAGTTTGGGCTAATTTAGGAAGTAAAATATAGTGTTTAATTTGCATTTATTTAAAAATCATTTAACATATTTTCATTCCAGTTAATACCTTACATCTGATTATACATTTAATTATCCATGATATTTTTATTGTTCTTATGGATTTGAATGCAGATTCAGATTGAGATTACCTGTCATTAGCCAGGCTTTCTGTCCATTCCCCCACATAAGATTTTTCACATTTTTTAAAAAGATTTTTAAAAATTTAACTTTATTTATTTATTTTTTAAAAGAATGATTTTTTTATTTAACTTTATTTATTCATTTATTTATTTATTTAATTTGACCAGAGAGGGACAGAGTGAGAGAGAAAGTAAGAAAGCAAGCCACTAGGTCCAGGACTCAAACTGTGGTTGGCCATGTGGGAGTCCAACATCCTCAACCACCATACCACCTGCCAGCGCCTTATTTCTTTATTTTAGTTTAACCAAAGAGGACAGAGCAAGAGCGAGAGAGTGAGGGAAAGTGAGAAAGCAAGCCACCAGGTCCAGGATTCGAACGGCGGTCAGCCATGTGGGAGTCCAGTGCCTCCCTCCCGCCCTTTTTTTTTTGAGAGATTTTTGCTATAGGGCACATGCATTTGTTGGAGAGACAGAGACAGAGAAACAGAAAGTGAGAAATGAGTGCCCAGGGGGATGGCCATGCCGCAACTCTTTCTTCTCCGGGGATCCTGGCCACACATGCACACGCACCATGTGTGAGTTTGAAGTCACTAGATCTGAGACTTAAACCGTAATCAGCCATGTGGAAATCCAGTGACATCACTGCTGTGCTATCTGCTGGCCCCTCATTTGATCTTTACGACAGTCCTGGGGAAGAAATCTTACTGATTCCATTTAGCAGTGGAAATACTGTCACAGAGATTGTTTTGTCCAAGTGCTAGAATTTCTCTTCAAATCTAGTCTTCTGATAATAAATTCAGCATCCTTCCACCTTACTAGTTACTAACCTTATTTTTTTAAGGATTTTTAAACTTAACTTTATATTTATTAGTTTATTTTAATTTGACCAGAGAGGGACAGAGCAAGAGAGAGAACAAGAGGGAAAGTGAGAGCAAGCCTCCAGGTCCGAGACTCCAACCACGGTCAGCTACATGAGAGTCTTGTACCCTTAACTACCATGCCACCTGCTGGCCCCCACTAGTTACTAACCTCACGTGTGTAGCAGCAGATACTCGATCACTGTAATGTCTAACCAATGTCTTAACTATAGTAATGTTTAGTAAATACATTGTGTGTGTGTGTATAGTAATACATGCATATGTATTTTTTTATACTGGTGAGCATGTGTGCATGTGCATCTGAGTGAGAAACAGAGAGGAAAAATCATCCGGTCAGCATCTTATCATGCTGCTGTCCCTCTCCCTAGTACTCCAGCTCCTAAGAATCGTGGGCACCTGGTCCCAAACTTCCAGACTCCTGTCCTTTAGCTAGATTTCCCCCCCCCCAATTTTGCCACAGGGCTCATGTACTCACCAGAAACAGAGAGAGAGAGAAAGTAAGAAATAGCCCCTGGGGGATGGCCATTCCACAATCCCTTCTCTTTTCTTGGGATTTAGGACATGCGTTCACATGTTCCTGGTGTGTTTTTCAAGCTGCTAAGTCCAGGACTCAAACCATGCAGTCGGCCATGTGGGATTCAACCGCCTTAACCTCTATACCACTTGCTGGCTCCTCTAGATGTTCTTTATTTCTTTTTCTTTTTCTTTTTTTGCTATAAGGGGCATGTACTTGCCAGAAAGACAAAAAACAGACAGAAAGTGAAAAATTATCCCCCCAGTGATGGCCACACCAAAATCCTTTCTCCTCTATTTTCCTCTTGGGATTTTGGGCACTCACACACATCCCTGGGTCTAGGCGTCAAACCACTGTCAACTATGTGGGAGTCTAGTGACGTAACCACTATGCCATCTGCTGGTTCCATAGATGTTTTTTATTTCTAAAATGGTTAGAGCATAAACTAAAAACTAAAATTATTTGTCTTTAAAAATCATTTTAGGGGCTAGCAGGTGGCATGGTGGTTAAGAGTGCTGGATTCCTACATGGTCAACCGTGTTTCGAGTTCCAGACCTGACAGCTTGCTTTCTCACTTTCCCTTTCTCTCTTTCTCTCTCACGCTGTTCCTTTCTTGTCAAATTAAAAATAACAATAATACTAAAATAAATAAATAGGGTTAAATAAAATAACTCTTAAAAAGTAATCATTTTAACAATAACCTAAGGGCCAGCAAGTGACATGGTGGTTAAGGAACTGGAATCCCACATGGTCTACCATGGTTTAAGTTATAGACCTGGCGGCTTACTTTCTCACTTTCTCTCTCTGATCAAATTTAAAGAATTATTTTAAATTTAATTTTATTTATTCATTCATTTATTTTCATTTGACCAGAGAGAGACATGGGGGTGGGGAGTGAGTAAGCAAGCCACCAGGTCTGGGACTTGAACTGTGATCAGCCATGTGGGAGTGTCCAGTGCCCCAACCACCATGCCATCTGATGGTCCCCTCTCCGGTCAAATTTTAAAAAAGTAATAATAATAAATAAAGTTGAACAGATAATTTTAAATAAATAAATAACCTAAAGGGAAACTTTTTTTCCCCAAGGACTTCCTCACTCTGCCCGCCTTCCTCACGAGACCATGGCCGATAACAGCAGCGATGAGTATGAAGAGGAAAACAGCAAGGTATAGCAGGACCCACAGCTTCCTGTAGAATCTCTGCCGTGGGTTTGTAGAATGAGGACGAATCGAACAGTAAACATTTCTTGAACATCATCCTGGTAGTTGGGTCACTTTGAGCTTGTGGAGAAAAATTGGGAGCAAAAAGCCTTGAGATTTTGACTCTTCTTCAGAAATAAAGTTTACCACTGTAGCTGAATTTTTTTTCTTTTTTCTTGTTTTTTTTTTTTTGAGAGGTTTTCGCTATAGGGTGCGTGCGCTCGCCAGACAGACAGAGAGAGACATAGAGACAGAAAGCGAGAAATCACCCCCCAGGGGGAATGGCCACACTGCAATTCCTTCTCCTCCATTCTCCTCTTGGGATCTTGGGCACACACACACACGTGCCTGGTGTGAGTTTTAAGTCACCGGGTCCGGGACGTGAACCGCGGTCGACTACGTGGGAGTTCAGCGACATAGCCATTACACTAACTGCCGGTTCCCTTTTTTTTTTTTCTTTTTGTGAGTAACTTCATAGAACGTAGGCCAGAGTTTTTAAACTTTACTGATTATAAAAATCAAATGTGGGGACAGCAGGTGGTGCGATGGTTAAAGTACAGGATTCCCACATGGCTGACTGCGGTTCGAGTCCTGGACCTGGTGACTTGCTTTCTCAATTTCCCTCTCTTTCTCTGTCTAATTTGAAAAATAATAATAAATAAAATTAAATAAATAATTCTTAAAAGAAAAAAAAACCCAGGAGCTTCATAAAATCAGGTCAAGAAGAATATCTAAAATGACACAGAAAGCTTTAGTAATACAGAGTGATTTTATCAAAGCCTTCAAGGTTACACTTTGAAGTGATCACACTCCATGACTAATAAGTTGTTTCTATATCTTACACACAAGGTAATTTTTAGGCATTTGTCTGTGATAAGTGAAGTCCTTGGTCTTTGTATCAGGGATTTTGCAAAACACAACTCTGAAGGAGCAGACCAAAGAAAAGGGGATGGTTTTCCTAGGTTGACCTCTGAGTTTTAAGTATCTATCCTGAGTTCTTCTAGTCATGCTGTGGACAGTGTCCTGGGCTTATTTATCTTACCAACTGAATATATATCCAGCATTAGCAGAAAAGATCTACTTTCAAATGACCTTTAAACCGATGTTCAATATTATTATTTTATTATTATTATTATTCTTTTAAGGCTTTTGCCATGGGGTGCATGTGCTCGATGGAGAGAGACAGAGGCAGTGACAGGGAAAGCTAGAAATCGCCCCATGAGGGCATGGCCACAACACAACACTTTTCTCGATGCTCCTACTGGGATTTTGGGTATACCCACACATGCGCCTGGTCCAGTTTTCAAGCCACCAGGTCCAGGACTCAAACTGGAGTCAGTCATGTGGAGTCCAGTGCTGTAACCACTACGCCATCTGCTGGCTCCAACAATCAGTATTCTTTTTTTTTTTTTTTTTAGAGGTTTTTTTTTTTTGTTCTCTCGGGTACGCGTT